AGGCAGTGATCTAACCACCCAGTACTACCATGAGCCTCGCTGTAATATGTAAAGTTTACAGTGGAACGACCAAGGAAACATATGTCCGAAACATATATATTATTTTCTGAGCAAAAATGTTCAAGTTTAAAATCACCTAGAATAATAGCATTCGTAGCGTTGCAATCTTGAACAATACAATAGATTTTAGCCAAATAGCTAAGAAAATCATCAAAATTATCATCTGAACAAGTGGGCAAATATGCACACAGTATGAGTATATGACTATGTTCAGTACGCAGTTCCACGCCAATAAGTCTGTTATCATTTAAATATCGTATTTTAATTTTATTACCAAGAGATTTGCGCCACAAGATGGCAACGCCTCCGTACGGCCGTCCCACGCGGATTGCCGTCTCTTCATTCATTGCCGAAACTCCACATGCATTAAAGCCATTATGTATACTCCCTAGAAGTGTTAATTCGGAGTTACTAAGCCAGTGCTCTTGGATTAACACTATGTCATGAGAGTCACAGAGAGCGTGAATATCGTTAATAGAGGATTTTGCTCCACGACAGTTGAATGAAACTATTCGTACAGACATTGTTATTAGTATTATATTATTATTCAAAGTCTATGCAAATTGTGCTCATGGAAACTCACTTAGAGGGCTTCATTCAGTCTATATGCAAATTGTGCACTTGTAAGCTCGCTTAGAGGGCTCTATTCAGACTATGTGCAAATTGTGCACTTGCAAACTCACTTAAAGGGCTTCATTTGAAGTATATGCAAATTGTAAACTGCTCTTGCAAACTAACTTAGATGGCTTCATTCAAAGAATCTTCAAATTGTGTTCTTGAATTGCAAACTCACTTAGGTGGCTTCATTCAAAGAATCTTCAAATTGTGTTCTTGAATTGCAAACTCACTTAGGTGGCTTTATTCAAAGAATCTTCAAATTGTGTTCTTGAATTGCAAACTCACTTAGAGGGCTTCATTCAAAGTATCTGCAAATTTTACATTTGCGAACTCACTAGGGGGGTTTCATTCAAAGTAAATGGAAATTGTGTTCCTACCCTACAATGCATTGCTTTGTATTTTCATAAGATTTTGGTGACAAATATCACAACATTACATTTCAGGGTCGAAGTAGTTTTTTGCTGAATGGAAACGAAGACATTCCAGGTCTGACGCAGAATAGAAATAAAATGACGGTAGCGTCATATTTTAGAGTAAGTTAAATATTTGTCAGTCTGGGTTGTCATGGTTACAGTCATATTTTCTAATTTGATCAGGATAAACATTTTCACTCAAAGATTTTTGTTCATTACAGTAGAATGATCATTAAATTTGTTTAGTGAGAGCTTTAAAATTTGAATTCAAAATGGCTACCACTGAGTTCAAAATGGCTACCACTGAGTTCAAAATGGCTACCATTTTGGACATAATACTATGGGGATAATATGAAAATATGCCATTATTTTGTAATGTTTTTTTTTTCAATCTTTTATATACTTGACTCAAAGAATGAATAACTGCGAAAACATTACAATTCAGAAATATTTTTCTTATTTTATGAGATTTTCATGTATATTACCATTCTTGTAGTATTCCCTAATGGAGCTGTTATCCAAAATGGTTTCCGGAACGCCTCACTTTGTACGTTGCATCAAGCCAAATGATCAGAAGACGCCGGGACAGTTTGATCGTGATAAAGTCATGATACAGCTGAGATACACAGGAGTTCTTGAAACGACAAGAATTCGACGACAGGGATATTCACACCGGATAACGTTTTCTGACTTTGTACACAGGTATATTATGTATTTTCAATTGTTAAAAATAAGTACTGTAAAATCTGTATTAGAAGCTGCGGCTTCTATTACAATAGTACAATGCAACAGAGAGTGTGCGGCTTCTATTAGAGCATCTACACTTATGAGAAATGATGAATTTTTGATTCTCAATTATTCAAAAAGAATGGGTGCGACATCTATTGGAGATGCGGCTTCTAATACAGATTTTAGGGTAATAGTATGAAGGGTGCCACCAAATGTTTGATTCTTTTGTTTTTATTCACTTCACTGCAAACAACAAAAACGAAAAATGTTCACGACTTGATCACAACTGGTTTCTCATAAGTCATCATGACTTCTTGTCTGTTCAGAATAAATACAGTAACATAGAATCAAAAAAATGGTGAGAACGTAAAACTCGTGCAATTAAACAATAACAATTTCCTTGTTTTCTTTCTTTTCCAGGTACAAAGTGCTTTCATTTAACATGAATGAAGACGTGGAGGAGACGGCCGAAATGTGTGAGAGAATAATCAAAACATGTGGCATGACGAACTGGTTAATGGGTCGAACCAAGGTATGTTTCACAGTACAAATCTTACTACCTTTATATTTGTCTGATACATCGCCGGCTAAAATCACACCCAGGAATGAAAGATGACTCTTTTTTTTTTAAATTGTTTGTCTCTGTCTGAGTTTGAAATTATCCTGATGATAGAAGAAATGTAATAGATTTGCTTGATTGTCTTGTTTTTTTTTGTTTTTTTCAGGTGTTTTTAAAGTACTACCATGTAGACAAGCTGGACAAGGAATTGGAAAAGTACCACAAGATGGCTATCCGAGCACAGGCAGTGATGAGAGGGTGGATTGCTAAGATAAAATACAAAAGACTAATTGCAAGAAGATGGAAAAGTGCAATTCTACTTCAAAAATGTAAGAAAATTGACCATTCCTAAACAAATTGAAAGATATTGATTATGATCCCACTCCTTCTTCTCTCCTAAAACTTCAAACATGAAACTCAGCAATACCAAATCAGGAAAAAGATGCCCTGACCCCCTAACCTGACACTGTAGCAAGGGCTTCCTAACCTGACATTATAGCAAGGGCTCCCTAACCTGACACTATAGCAAGGGCTCCCTAACCTGACACTATAGCAAGGGCTCCCTAACCTGACATTATAGCAAGGGCTCCCTAACCTGACATTATAGCAAGGGCTCTCTAACCTGACACTATAGCAAGGGCTTCCTAACCTGACACTATAACAAGGGCTCCCTAACCTGACACTATAACAAGGGCTCCCTAACCTGACACTAGCAAGGGCTCCCTAACCTGACACTATAACAAGGG